AAAAATGAATTTATAAATATAGAGAAATACATTGAAAATTCGCAATTTCTATGTGATGAAAATAACAATTTTTTTCTCGGTTTATTCATTAGAAAACAACTACTTTCCTGGCTATATGCCACGTCGAACATTGAATTATATCTGATGAACATTCAAAAGGAGAACATGAAGAATAAAAAATAAAATCCTCCGAAATTGAGAATTGAAATTCTTCTTCAAATCGGATGAATAATATGATATATAATGATATATAAATATAACTTACCAATATATTCAGCATTGAAATGAAAATTGCATGGAATGTATATGAGAAGTATACTGGCATACACTCTGATCTTGATGAGCTTGAAAACTTCCAAAAATATTCATTCATATCAGTGATATGGGAAATATTATCTCTCACACACAGGTTATATGACTTTATTGCAATGAAACCATTTCGGATTTCTGAATCCTCATCAGTAACCATGATGTCCACTTATTCTTACAGCTATTCTTCACTGATATGAATGATTATTTTTGGAAGTTTTCAAGCTCATCATGCCAGTACACTTCTCCTATACATTCCAATTTTCATTTCAATGCTGAATATATTGGTAAGTTATATTTCTATATCATTATACATCATATTATTCATCCGATTTGAAGAAAAAAGTCAATTCTCAATTTCGGAGGATTTTATTTTTGATTTTTCATGTTCTCCTTTTGAATGTTCATCAGATATAATTCAATGTTTGACGTGGCAAATAGCCAGGAAAGTAGTTGTTTTCTGTTGAATATTCAGAATGATGTGTGCATGTACATATTTTTTGTCTGAAGGAGAATGCAAATTCTCAATTTCAGAAGTTTTTATATTTTATTTTCAAACTCTTATCGTGTGTGTTCAATAGATATAATTCAATGTTCGTCGTGGCATAGGTATAGCCAGGAAAGAAGTTGTTTTCTATTGAAAAAACTGAAAAAGAGTAGATTTTCTCATCACAATGAAGAGAATGCGAATTCTCAATGTACTGCTTCATATAAATATACCTATATCCATTTTTGTATGTTCATAATTTATCTGAGGATATTCCTTTTCAACACATTCTGTATTCTGTAAAAGAACTGTACAAAAGTATAAGCATGCATGCTAGGTGCTCAAGAGCGACTTGAGAGACATATGCGCGGAAGATAGGTAGGTATATACTTGTTTCTCGACGTCACTCGTACTTTTTTTTACGAACGAGAACCTATTGAGGGTCTCCTCATACCACCTTATACTTCTATCGTCCTCATTCTCAATCAAAACGTTTCCACCGCTTTTGGTTTCTATTGTAAAAACACAATCTCTGTCACATTCCCCATTTCAAATGAACCAATAATAATTAGTAATGCAATATTGCACTGACAGTTTTGCTGTCAAAACAAGTAATTATAACAAATACTTACTTTTCTCTTATTTTTACGTCTTCAATTATTGAGATTCCGATCGAGCAATCTGCGGCAGCTGAGTTGATGTCCTCCTGGCCTAGGTCATACTCTGGGAGAACGAGAGAGAGAGGGAGAGAGAGAGAGAGAGAGGACACACGTCGGGGAGAAAAGGACAGATGAATTCCGGTACGCGACGCGGACCACTTCGAGATGGACGAGAGACGCTCTCCCGCTGCTGCCCACGTGACCGCCGGCGACGGACTAGAGCGTCGCGGCAACCGAAACGACGCTAGGCGCGGGCAAGGCGGCGTTGCCGGATTGCGGGGACTTTCCGGAGGAGCAACCCAAAGGGCATATTAGGCACGTTTATTCGACGTTAAATGGGAATGTAAATTTTCACTACTGTATATTTTGTCTGATTCTATACTATTCTGTACTGCTGAGCACATCTGACAGGATATTTTGTCACAATTACATGGTTAACATTTTTCAATAACATAAATTGAACTCAATCTGCTTCATATTATTTCATTATCCTCAAATAACCTGCTATGTGGATACACACCTGAGATTTCACACTGTACATAAAATAAAAATACTATTTCAATGGATACGTTGATATCTCTTGCTATATCTGCTTTGTTGTGATCCAAGTAGAATGATGATTCGGATGGTTTTTACAGGAACTTATCTGAAAGAGATGAATAATATTAAGTAATATGAAATACCATTTCAGAGACATTCTCATACTCATATTTCACACTTCTATTTCCACTTGAAACTCCATCACAGTAAGACAATAGGTATTGGATTTTCCAAGAATGCTGAGGCGGATGGTTCCCACTAGAAATTGACCATTGTGAATCAATTAATTTCGTTTGGCATTATTCCTGTGATTGATGTATTAGATAGATTCAGGTTGATATGTTTCGATTTTGTTGATCAGTTAATTCGCTTTACGTCAATTAACTGTCGATCATGATCATGACACGATGTCAACAGTGTCAATCTTGTCATGCGCCAAAACGCCGATTCGGATTGAAAAGTGTCAAACTATAAGCAACACAACTTTCAAAGAAATATATTTTGCATTTACATGTTGAGAACGGAAGCAGATTCGGTCCCGAAACGTTCAAAGATAAGAGAGAAAGTGCCAGAAAACGGCGGAAATTCACGCGAATTATCGCTTTTCCAGTAGAAAATGACACGTTGAATCGAATGAGACCATGATCAGCTCGATATAGGACAGATAGCTATCGAGATATCGGCGCTCAAAGGCAGCTTTCCGATTTAATTGCCAATAGGTGCACTCCGGTAGGCTACTACGTCCCAATTCTCCAAAATTCACGAAATTCCACCACAGATCCGTTCATTTCGACATCGAATCAGTATACGTTAATTTTTTTAGATTTTTAATAGACCAAATGAAAATTTTCATTTTCCCACCTGAGATTTCAGTATGATATAGTCACCGAGCTATCTTCGTACGGCCGACAGTGCCTGAGAACAGCGAAAATTCACGGGATTTATTACTTCCTCAGTAGAAAATGACACGCTGAATCGAATAAGACCATGATCAGCCCGATAGGACAGATAGTTTCCGAGATATCGGCTTTCAAAGTCAGCATTCCGCTTTCATTGCCAATTGGTGCACTCCAGTAGGCTACTACGTCTCCATTATCCAAAATTTTCTGATTTTCACCACAGATTTGTTCATTCCGACATCGAATCACTCTATGTGAATTTTTTCAGATCTTTAATAGGCCAAATAAAAATTTTCATTTTTCCACCTGAGACTTCAGTACGATATAGTCACCTAGCTATCTTCGGACGGCAGATAGTGCCAGAAAACGGCAAAAATTCACGCGAATTATCGCTCACTCCGTAGAAAATGACACGCTCAATCGGATGAGACCACGATCATCCCGATATGACACACAGTTTTCGAGATATCGGCGCTCAAAGTCAGCGTTCCGTTTTCAATGCCAATAGGTGCAATCCGGTAGGCTACTATGTCTCAATTATCCAAGTTTTTCTTATTATCACTACAGATTCGTTCATTTAGACATCGAATCAGTCTATTTGGATTTTTTCAGATTTTTAATAGGTCAAATAAAATTTTTCATTTTCCTACCTGAGATTTCAGTACGATATAGTCGCCGAGCAATCTTCGGACGGCCGAAAGTGCCAGAAAACGGCGGAAATGCCCGCGAATTATCGCTTTTCTAGTAGAAAATGACACGCTGAATCAATTGAGACCACGATCAGTCCGATAGGACAGACAGTTTTCGAAATATCGGCGCTCAAAGTCAGCTTTCCGCTTTCATTGCCAATAGGTGCACTCCGGAAGACTACTACGTCTCAATTATCCAAAATTTCCCTATTTGCACTACGGATTCGTTCATTTCGACATCGAATCAGTCTATTCGAATTTATTCAGATTTTTAATAGGCCAAATAAAAATTTTCATTTTCTCACCTGAGACTTCAGTACGATATAGTCAGCGAGCTACCTTCGGACGGCCGAAAGTGCCAGAAAACGGCAAAAATTCACACGAATTATCGTTTTCCTAGTAGAAAATGACACGCTGAATCGATTGAGATCACGATCAGTCCGATAGGACAGACAGTTTTCGAAATATAGGCGCTCAAATTCAGCTTTCCGCTTTCATTGCCAATAGGTGCACTCCGGAAGACTATACTACGTCCCAATTATCAAAAATTTTCGAATTTTCTCTATAGATTCGTTTATTCTGACCTCGAATTAGTCTATTCGAATTTTTTCAGATTTTTAATAGGCCAAATAAAAATTTTCATTTTCCTACCTGAGACTTCGGTACGATATAGTCACCGAGCAATCTTTGGACGGCCGAAACTGCCAGAAAACGCGAATTATCGCTTTTCTAGTAGAAAATGACACGCTGAATCGAATGAGACCATAATCAGCCCGATAGGACAGACACAGTTTTCGAGATATCGGCGCTCACAGGCAGCTTTCCGATTTCATTGCCAATAGTTGCACTCCGGTAGGCTACTACGTCTCCATTTCCCAAAATTTCCTAATTTTCACCACAGATTCGTTCATTTCGACATCGAATTAGTATATTTGGATTTCTTCGGATTTTTAATAGATCAAATAAAAATTTTCATTTTCCTACTTCAGTAGGTACGATATAGTCACTGAAATATCTTCGGACGGCCGAAAGTGCTAGGAAACGGAGAAAATTCGGCATACGTACGAATACGTACAGATAGGCTTTTGCATATCTATCCGTAAGTATACGTACGGATAATATGTCAAAGCCTAGCTATCTGTACGTATACGTACGTATAAATATGCCAAAGCCTATCTGTACGTATACGTGCGGATAGATTTGCGGATAGATATGGGAAAGCCTATCCGAACGCAAATATAGTTGTCAATTTACCATCAATTTACGTACGGACACTGCGTACGGATAGCATTCTTGGTGGTTATTCGCACGTAAACGTACGGATAAAGTGCCATATCCATAACACTATTCGTACGTATCCGTACGTATGCACGCACTGCGTGCGAATAGACACTTCCATATAACAAGGGGCACAGGGGGGCAATGAACTTACAGTTCATTGCAGGGGGGTCTATGCTAAATGGAAAGTGGTGGTTATTCGCACGTAAACGTACGGATAAAGTGACTTATCGCTATTTGTACGTATTCGTACGTATACACGCACTGCGTGCGAATAGACACTTCCGGGCTGGCAGGTTAGAGAAAGTGAGGTTAAATATGTTCAATGTCAAAAAGTCAAAGGGTTAGGTGAATGTTGACGGTAATGCTGGGTTTTCAAGTTTGGAAACATTTTACAGACAGAAGCACAAAATATTTATGAACACCATCAAAACTTTGACCACAAACATGCTTCATTCTTCGCTCACCAACCTTTCCAAATTGTCTAAAGCAGATATGAAAAAATTTTTGGATTCTTTTGATACAGTACTATCTGATTGTGATGGAGTGCTATGGCTGGAAAACGAGGCAATCGAAGGGTCAGTGGAAGTCATTAACATGCTCAGAGAACTAGGAAAGAAGATTATATTTGTTACAAACAACTCTACAAAGATTAGAGAAGAATTTGTGACTAAATCCAGGAGAATGGGATTCATTATAGAGAAGGTTTGCATTATCGAAAGTTACCTGTTGAGATAACTTGAATGATTGCAGGATGAAATAATATCAACAGCCTATCTAGCAGTGAGTTACTTGAAGAGTAATGGGTTCAACAAAAAAGCTTATGTTATTGGATCCAAAGGAATCAGCCAAGAATTAGAAGCAGCAGGTATTAAACACTTAGGTATTGGAGTAAGTTTATAATTGAAGTTGATGATGATGTATTCTGATGTGAAACAAATTATTTTAGCCTGATGTTCTTCAGTGCAGTCTCTCACAAACCATTGAGACTTTCCATCCTGATCCTGATGTTGGTGCTGTAATAGTTGGGTTTGATGAACATTTTTCCTACAACAAGCTACTTAAAGCAGCATCATATTTGAACAAACCATCATGTTTTTTTGTTGCCACAAATACTGATGAGCGTTTTCCAATGCATACAGATTTGGTTGTACCTGGTACAGGTGCTATTGTACGTGCTGTAGAAACTGTAGCACAAAGAGAAGCTGTAGTTGTTGGGAAACCTAACTCCTACATTTCCCAAGCCCTATTCAGAGAACATGGGATTGACCCTAAGAGAACACTGATGATTGGTGATAGGTAAGAGATTTTTCTGGAGATTTAACAAGAGGGTTCTTTTGAATATTAAGTATCTGAACTTTCAGATGCAATACAGATATTTTGTTGGGCACCAGATGTGGCTTCCAAACACTTTTGGTTCTGTCTGGGGTTACTACTTTGGATGAGGTAACTGAATGGAAAAAATCTTCCAAAAAGGAAGAGAAAGACTTGGTTCCAGATGCATATTTGAATAAACTGGGTGATTTATTACAATTTCTTGACTAGGAACAGTTTTTGTTGGTCCCATTTGTTATAAACATCACTGCTGGACAGTGGTACAGATTTGATGAAATATTTATAAATGTATTTTATTTTCAAATACAGGGTTTCTATAAATGATTATAACTATATGAACTCTAAGAAAATAAACAATGAATATCAAATTAAACCCAATAAACCCATTATTGGAGCGAGTAAAAACAGCTCGTTTTTCAAGACCCTTCCAACATTGGGGTACATTCACATTAGCCGAATTCACCCTGATATGACAGCAGTCGATCTCAGCAAATTTCTAAAAGAAACAGCACCTCAAATCAGTTTTAAATGTGAGGAATGGAATAAAACGTCTGAATATGTTTCTTTTAAGGCATCATTTCCCATTGAAGATGTTGAAAAAGTCTATGATCCATCTATATGGCCTGAGGGATCAGCGGTGCAGCGTTTCAAATTTAAGAAAAATTTCCGCAGCACCCGACCATAAATTCCAAGGAATTTGTAAACTATTCGAATGTAGCAAGTTTTAAACTTCTGAACATCAACGTTCAAAGTCTGAAAAATAAGCTCAACCAACTGGAAGTAGCATGCTCCCAGTATTCTCCTGATTTTCTTTGTGTCACTGAGCATTGGCTGGATAGCGACAGACTTTATGACGTGAACATCCAAGGGTACAAACTGGTTTCAAGTTTCTGCAGGAAAGAACGTCTACACGGTGGATCAGCAATTTTTGTGAAAGAAGTGCATGTTCCCGACTGTGCGGATAAAATTGTTTTTCGAACATTTTCAAGTGAAATGTGCTTAGAATGTTCAGCGGTAAGTTGGGGAGGTGACTCCTGCCTATTACTATCTATTTATAGACCGCCATTATCAGTCTTTCAAGATTTTTTGAATAAACTAGAGAATCTCCTAGGGTATGCCCTCAAAAAATTTCATACTGTTATTCTAAGTGGTGATCTCAATGTCAATGGTCTAAATTCCAACTGTCCGGAAACAAAAGCTTTTTTGGATGTGATAGAATCTTTTCAACTGAACATTCATACTTCTCAGCCAACAAGAACGATTACTCATCTTGATGGGAGAAGAAATTCATCTCAAATTGACTATATAATATCCAGTCTGGAAGAAATACTTTGTGTTGAAACTTTCGACCTAGGTTTTTCAGACCACCTTGCACAAATCATTGAATTTCCATTTAAACCTATTACAACAAAGCAGACACAATGCGTGTATGTGCAGAAAAGACTTTCTCACCCAGGTGCGATTTCTGAATTCAAATATCTTTTTAATAAGGACAAACTTACATTGGATCTGACAGAGGATATCAATGAAGTCTTCAACCATTTCTGGCAACATTTTCTATGGTGTTTTGAGATCTCACATCCAAAACGAAAAATAAAAATAACAAATAACAGGACTAAGGATACAAACATAGAATATTCAATAGAAACATTTGAACTAAGTAACAAAGTAAAAGAACTAAACTGGCTTCGAAAACTCTCAAATGATGATAGGATCCACTCAAAATACAAAACCATGAAAAATACTCTGAACAACCAAATTCAAATGGAGAGAACCAATCACTACTCTGCCCTAATTGAAAACTCAAATAACAAACCTAAAATGTTATGGGAGATAGTAAACACCAAATTAAACAAAAAAAAAGTATACAGACATGATATGCGTATCAAATTAGATGACGAAACTATAGATGATACGAAAAAAATTGCTGATATCTTCGTTAAATTCTTTTCAACATCTGCTGTTGACCTGGTTAAAAGTAATATATCTGTTGCAACTCCTACCTGTTGTACAACTGTGAAACCTTCGGTGAATACTATGTATTACATACATTTTGAAATATATGAAATTGAGAATATCATTAGAGACCTGAAGAACAAAAAATCTGTAGGTTTGGACGAAGTTCCTACATCACTCCTAAAGGAATGTGTACATGAAGTAGCACCGTATCTAACTGATCTAATAAACCACTCAGTTGAAGTAGGAAAATTTCCGGACTTGATGAAAATCTCAAAATGTACACCGATCTTCAAAAAAGGTGATCCGACACTGGTAGAAAATTACAGATCTATCTGTGTCTCGGATCCAATTTCTAAAATTATGGAGAAAGCAATATACATTAGGCTGATCAATTTCTTTGAGAAATATAAATTATTATCACCACATCAACATGGGTTTCGGGCGGGCCTTTCAACCGAAACTGCATCAACTGATTTAATACAAAATATTCACGAAATTCTTGATAGAGATTCCCTTGCAGTTGCAATATTCTTTGATATGTCAAGGGCTTTTGACACCATAGATCCACTTTTCTTGAAGATGAAACTCCATGCAATGGGTGTAAGAGACTCAATCAATGACTGGTTAATTTCTTTTACCCAAAACCGCCGTATCATTGTTGATATTAACAACACACACTCAGGCGAACAAACTATTGAACTAGGAACACCTCAGGGCAGTGTTCTGGGACCGCTACTGTTCTTGGTATATATAAACGACTTGCCGGATTTTTTCGAGGAGGGCAGGCCGTTCATATATGCTGATGACACGGCGGTGATAGTCTCAGGAAACTCACATGAGGAGGTTACCCACAGAGTTGAAGTAGCAATCAGTCAGTTTGCACTATGGTGTGAAATCAACCATCTTGTAGTCAACCTGAAGAAAACCAGTTACATGGAATTCACAGGAAAATACAAATCACCTAACATTGATCCAAGTATACCATTTGGTGATACAAATATACAGGCTGTCAACTCTTTCAATTTTCTGGGCACGCTTGTGGATTCAAAATTATCTTGGAATGATCAAATAAACCACCTTTGTAAAAAGCTCCAAAAAACTTATTTTGCCATATTCTCTCTCAAAAAATATCTCAATGTCCACGGTCTGATTAACGTCTACTATGCTCTAGCGTTCTCAACAATGAGTTATAATATAATTTCTTGGGGACAAGCCACAGAAATAAGCAGAGTCTTTACTCTACAAAAACGTATTATTCGTCTCATTTTCAACTTAAAGTATCAAGATTCCTGTAGAAATCACTTCAAAAAACATCGAATATTAACAGTGGTCAGCATTTACATATTGAAATTATTGTGTCACATCCATAAAAGCAAACACCATCTAAAGAAATGTTCAGAAATTCACAAATACACCACTAGAAATCACAATCATATTTATATGGAAAAGTTTCATCATATGGAGTACAAAAAATCTCCGAAATATAGCGGGAGTCATCTCTACAACTTACTGCCTGAATCAATAAAAAATCAATCTCTGAAGAGATTCAAGAATGATCTTAAAAAAATTCTAACCTCAAATAGTTTCTATGATGTTTCTGAATTTCAAATGCATTTAACATCCATGAAATGAAATGACATCTGTGCATTTTTCTAACTTAACGTTACATAACTAACTACATTATATTCTGCATCTGTCGCTAACCAGCCTAAAATGTATATATCTTTTGAATGTTATATGTTTTCTCGAATAACTTATGTATTGTGTTTCATAAACCGTAACTGACGAACCTACATGTACATGGCAAAAGGGTAATAAATGTTCTATTCTATTCTATAATTCACATGTATTTCTGATCTAACACCATTATCATGGTTCATTGCAGGAAGCTGGTAATGGAAGACATATTTCAATGGCCACCAAGATAATTTATAGAAACCCTGTACCAAAATAATTAAATACAAATGAATAAGTGGAATTTTGTTTTAATTGCATATTGGAATTACATATTTTCAATTGACAAAATACTTGGAATTATCAAATCACATACAATTATTGATAGGTATAATGATGATATAAATCAACAGATCAATGGAATTAGTGCTTTCCTATTCTTAGGAAATTTATCAAAGGTCTCCTGGTACCACCAGTGTGATAGTAAGATAGTTTCCACCTACAATGAATAAACAAATACTTTCTGGGAAATTATGGCATTCAACAATTTTACCTGGTTAGACAAAACCCATGCAAACACAAAGAACCATGTGATATTATACCACAACAGAATTGTTATAGAAAAATACATGAGAATCTCAGCATTCTGATGGGGGGCTGATAAATAATCAAACCAATCTCCATATGGCACCTTATGGTCATTTGAGACAAGATCACCTAGAAAAATATGATACATGTGGAATGATGAAACTCTGGATGTATAACACATATTATGAAAACTTTGAATTACCTTTTTCATTTTTTCTCAAATCAGCCAAAATTTTAGTAGTCTTGTGTTGGTGCCACCAGGCCCACAAAAATATTATAACAGCAGCAATATCAGTGTAAGATAATTGAGATATGTCCAAGTCTACACTTGAAGATAAGGCTAAAAATGTTGAATTAAAATTATTATCAAGTTATCTATCACTATTATACCTTTATGGGTGAAATTTGGGGCTTCACAAATCACTGCTAAAGCAGAACCTGGATAGTGTATAATTCCAACAAGGTAATGAGATAGGTTCATTACACTATTTTTGCTGTAAACTGAGATGAAATGGGTGTCATAAAATCTTCTATATGCTTGGAGAGTCATCAATATGAGAGCAAGGAATATGTGTGTAGCAGTTGCTAAAAAAATAATGGATATAAAAATGAACAGAGCAACAATTTAGAACATACTGTGAGCTGGTCTGTTTTCACCACAAAGACATTGAAGAAACTCCAAAAACCTATGGGAAGGCTCATTTCCGAAGACATATACTTGTGTTGCTTGATATAGTATAAAAGTATAAGAAATCACAGCCACCCAGTAAAAATGCCTAAACCATGATTTCGGCAAATCAATAACCCCAAAAACCTTTTCTTTACAAGCGAATTTTCCATACCTGAATGTTTTGCTAAAGAAAGTTGGAATTTTGTTCTCAAAAAAATTAAAAATACTAGAGCAGGCTATCATCGACGTTGTTAATAATGAGAAAGTGAGCATAACCCAATTCATTTTGGATACTGTCTTCAAAGATATTTGATATTTTCCTGCATATGAACTTATGAAGATTGTGAGCTATGAAATGTGGAGTGTGGATTTCGATTTCACTATTAATAACATACAAAGACATTATTTGACCTAAAAAGTTAACATTTCACCGAAAGTTTTTTTTCATGTTATTTTTATTTATTTCAAATTTCAAATGAAATACATTTGACATTTGTTGTCATCACGTCAGACGTTACATCAGTCACCTTGCATCAGTCACAGTCAACTTATAAACATCTCAGTCACATATCAGAAGTGCATAAATCTTTCGAACCATTCCCATGTTGAGAAATGATATGTTGAGATTCCTGTCATCATTTGTGTTGTGATTTAGGCTTTCAAGGGTGTTTTTCGTTCCTCTCGAGACCCCGCGAGGCTGTCGTTAACATGTATCACGTGATTCACTGTGACCAATCTGGCAATGAAGTTTGGGAATGGTTCCAGCACTTTAGGCCTCGTCACATATCACCTTAGATCATACAACACAAAAAATCGTGAATATTCTGAATTTCTGTGTCTATCACACAGAACTCAAACACTGTGTTTTAGTTCTGTGGTCTATCAGCGTCTCAGGGCAGGAATCGGGTGCTAACTTTACTCTGCTGACCAATCTCTGACAGGTAGCGCTTATTTAATTGTATAAGCGAGTAGCCATGCAATATGAAAGGTATAGGTATTCGTAACCACTGCGGGTTGCCTGAACAATATTTTTGCCTCACTCGGTTGTTTATATCGAATTCAATGGGTACAGGTATGCAACCCATAATATGGAGTATTGAAATTATGGTTGCCTAAAAAATTAAGTAATTGGGTCAAGAAATCAAATGGTCAGGGCCGTAATGAAATATATTAACTATGTTCTATTATACAGCCGTGACACTATGAAAGAAAATGAAATCATCATCGTAAACTTATACTAGTTTTAATTCATTGGTGCAATGAAACAATCAAAATTACAATACAAATAATAATTATACTAAAGTATATCAATTAGCTGTCTTCTGCAAAGTCTCTTCTGATAGCAGCAATTTCACTATATAACATCGTTATAACAGAGGCTTGCTCTTCCAACTGAAAAACAAAGAAATGTTAGCAGGTACTTTTTATGGCATAATCAAGAAAGTAACTGACCGCTTGTTGTGTATCACCATATTTCATGGTGATATCCATTTTATCCTGTTCCAAAGCTGCCAACTCGTCTTTACTGTCTTGCAAATGATCAGACAATACTTTGCATATGTTCTCGTAGTTGAAGCAGTCATGATCATTTCGAGAATCTTCTTCTACTTCCTGCACTATCGCCTCAAAATGTTTGGAAGTGTCAAAATCCAAAGTCGGGGCACTAGAACTAGAGTGATTGTTCAGTACATCTACAAGTTTTTCGATTAAGTCTGAAGCTGTGTTTTCGCAAAGCCTTTTGGTTTGCTGCCCTGCTCGATTGCTGAATGTGTGCATTTCATTGATGAGCTGAGCTATTTTGTTCTCGTTGTCAACTAGTATGGCTTTTCGCTTGACTTCGAAATCGTTTCGTAATTTTGCTATGGCTTTCTTGATTATTTCTTTGATAGCGTTGTATCCGTCTTGAGATAGTGAGCTTTGGTGACAGTCGAAATATGATCGTACATTGTCTATTTTCGCCATTTCTTTTTCTTGTCTCTTGTTCAGTCTCTCGGTATGCATTATTTCATTGAGTCTATTGAAATCTGACTGAAAGCGTTCCAAGTTTTTCTCGATGTTTTCAATTTTCTCCAGGATAAGATTCTCGGCGTTCTTGATTGGTTTTTCATTCATTGTATTGTCCTGCAGTGTCTTCAGAGCTCTGCAGACTTCCTCGAACTCAAAGTCTTCGATTTTTTTCAGGCTCTCAAATTCTTCGGAACTAGTATAACTATGATAATCGTCATCAATAAATTGTTCTGCATCGAGAAAGTTGACGTTTTCATTTTTTTCGAACTTGGAAACTATGTTTTGGACATATTTTTGTTCGGTTTTCTTCTGAGGCTTTGCTTTGGACAAGGCACCTCGGTTGGGATTGGTACCCATGAAGTCCTCCATGACCTTTTCTTTGCTGTGGCTCTTGATTGGTCTGTTTTTGCGTTTGTGAGGAGTGGAACAGTGAAGAGGAATATCCCGGCAACAGTTCTGAAAAACATAAATTATGCACATTAATTGAATTACCTTTATTTTCGTTGAGTACGATGAAAAAGTATAAGGAAAAATGTTCGTAGAACAATAAGAATCAATGGAATGAACTGATCCCTGATTACTAAAGCCGATTGGTCGGGTTATACTATAATAATTATTTTATTCTAACAGCTTATCGATATATCGTAGACAGTGCTAATTTTTTTTCGATATAAACATTCTCTAGGGACATTTATCCTGACGGTAAATTCACCCGTTGCAAAAATAATACTTATTATTCAAATTTTTTCTTAATTTTCATTCCATAATACTGACAAAGTTTCATTCTTTCTTTGTGCGTCAAGAATTGTTCCCTATAAATAATGTTTTTTCGACTGCATTTGGGAAAAAAATTCGATGAGTAGGTACTCTTCATGGCAAACTTTCTTATTTTTCTTTCGCTTTCAGTATGAATAGAAAAAGAGTTAATTTCATCCCTTGTCGAAAGATAATATCCGATGGACCATTGTATGACTCATGTGGTGCTCGCATTACAAGTATTCTAATCCACATGTTGAGTTTTATACCGGTCCATCGAATATTATCTTCAGAGAGATATTGGTTATCAAAGTTTACCAAAATACCGAATCTTCCATTGAAACTGTCTATTCTCATTTTTATGTATTGAGATTGAACGATTTCAATTCCATAATAAACAATACTATGACATTTCCATATCGAGCTTGAACAATTTATAAACGTTATTTATTAGATGTTATATGAAGTGAATGTTCATAATGCGGTATTTTGATAAATTTTGATCAATACCTCAACTATTTTTTATCCGAATATACTTATATTTTTTTTAAATCAGAAAAAAAAATGCTTTATCGACATGTCAGAAAATATATAGGGTGTTCCGTTGAACAAATCAAAGTTGATGTCCTTTCCGGAAAAACGAAAGACCCTGCATATGAAGCAACTTCACGAAATGAAAGTTTGGATCGTTTTCACAACTTTTTCATTACACATTTTTTCATATCTCTGAAAACGAAAGAGTTAAGGAGGCGCACCCTGTACAGGTATTAGAATCAATCAATATGATTCAGTAATGATGAAAAATAAATTACTCCGTAAACGATACTTCAATGCTAAATCACTCTTTCTGAGAAATTTGTGAAGGAAGCTTTTTCGTGAATAACCCTGTGTGGTTGGTAGACCTGTACTTACCGAACGGGAACATACTGAAGTCGACATATCATCATCGTTGGCTTGTTTCTGGCGAAATCTTGGGCATTTTGGGAATTGGTATCCTTTGTTCAAAGAGCTGGTCATATTGAAATCTGCTGGAGATATGTTGTCATCTGAAAAAGTTTCAATGTGAATTACAATCAGTTTTCAGTTTCAGCATTCCACGTAGAGACATTTCCTGAGTGGCTTTATAGTTCAAAGATCCGTAGCTACAATATATTTATTGATTCATTTAATTCCTTATTCGAACTGAAGGAACTGATTTCACTTTGTTCAAGATGAATCCAAAAAACTCATAATAACTGACAACAAGACATTTTCAAAAACTAATAACATTCAATGGAACACTGGATTATTTCGAAAGAATAATAATTATCATGAGCCCCCGTTTTCCCTGAGACAATCACAGAAGAAGTTCCAAATTTGTAGTCTTTGATTTAATTCAAGATTTCTGGCCTCAACCGGTAATTGGTCCTAGGATGGAATTCATATTCATGTCACTTTGACCGGAAGTGTGCACAAACTATTTTAATTCGAATGTAGAGTTCATTTTTTTGTAAATAACAATTTACAATCATACTTTATCTCACGAGTATTTTAACTATTTGCACCTCCTTCCCCCCCTCACACACTCTCGATCATGAGAAAAAAAAACAAGAGTCATGATCCAATGATGATGTATAAGGGGGTAAAACGAAACAATGAGATGAAAAGCAATTAATTTTCGGAAACCATGACTCTCTAGTGTTGCCATCTAGACAAGACAAGACAAGAGTTTACCTACTCTTGTCTTGTCTTGAAATTTCAAGACAAGAGTTGTATACGCGTAAGTCTTGATTGAATAAGCTAAGTGCGGTCTTGTCTAGATAACGAAAGTCTAGATTATCATTCAAGACTCTAGATAAGACGCTCAGCTTAAATTGCGTAGAAACAGTCAAGTGCATGCAAACTCCCGCTCTCTGGGAACCAATCAAAACAAATCATAGCCGCGCCAGCGAAACGACGTATTTGTATCTAGACAAGACATATTGATGATTTTGTCTTGATATTCTAGACAAGACAAGACAAGAGTCTAGAATGTATAAGTCTAGACGGCAACACTATGACTCTCTATTAGGGTATGTTTAGTTCGACAATAATTATGAGATAATATAATGTAGTCTAAACATACAGGGCATTTCAGTTTCTAAACAGGAAAATTTAATAGGCTATAGAACATATAGGTAAACTTGTTCATTTTAGCTAAATTTTTGAAATACTGATGCTAGAAATTCTAAATGCCCTTTTCAATCTTCACTATCTCTATTTGAGCTTTCATAATTTAATGGCAAAATCTAGATTCGAATGAGGTCTTCTTTTTTCTTCTTCAAAACTAAGAATGATACGAAAAAAACTAGACATCTTTTATATCTAGAATTGTTTAATAATAAAATGTATGATTATTTTTATCACAAATATCAATCAAGTAACCCTCTGGGGTGCCTAACCTAACCTAAAATACGAAATAGCCTTAATGCTCAAATACATTGAATGACTTTGAGCTTTTTGTATTTATTCAACCTATAACCTGCCTAGTGTAGCTTATCTATGCTATAGTTTAAGAAAAATCGGCTAAGTGGTCTTCGAGTTGTGCATGTAAAATTATTTAAAAAAAAACTTTAGTTCATTGCATAACTTTCTTCATCATATTTTCGAGTTTTATCGTCTATAAAGTTTTTCCGATCGAAATTTGAAACACCCTGTATAATTTCCTTTATTACTACTCTTTCGATATTGATGAATGCATATTGTATAATAGTTCCTTTACCCATGTGACCATACTCTATAATGAATGTATTTTCGATTTATTTTTCTGTAAGGTTGGAGGAATTGAATATTATGATTCTATCGCTAGGTGATTCCAAATTGACACTACTTACCAGGGTTTTTGTAGTTGAATCTTTTTGCTCTTGGAAACGACATTTCACACGGATTTTTGCTAATACACCAACTATCAAAGCGCTGTAGGTAATGATGGGAGTTTGCGAAATATCCCTGTAATGACGATGACACTACCAACACACTTACTTATCACAAACTCATTCTTATCACTTAAT